CATCCCCCCTTCCTCCTTCTTCCCCCAGCTTTATATGCTAAGCATAATGCCATATAGTGTAGAGTAGTCCTTTGGTTAGTTGTAGTCATATGTCCCCGCTCTGTCCCCTCCCAGTTCCTTGAGTACTCCTAGCCTGCTTGCTGTTGGGGTGGGGTAGAAGCAGAAAAGACCTGGACTCTGTGGAAGCACTGCTCAGCAGTATCTAAAACATTCCTCTGTTATCAACACTGTTTTCAGCACAAATCCAAAACACAGCCCCATACCAGCTACTATGAAGAAAATTAACTATCTCACCCAAAATCAGCACAATTACATATAATCCTTTGAACAGTTTTTTCTCCCGTGTCTTTTCACCTAAATTTCTTTTGGTTTTGGGTCTTGCTTACAATGTTAAACCTAGAAAGGCTGAATTGACTCAAATGTATTGAGTTTCATAGTTTTGTTTTGAAAGCAATTAAAAGTCCCTGGTTAACTGGAATTTTTTTTGAAGTTGGCTCTTGGATTGAAGGTAATGTGTAGTGAATGTCTGCTGCTTGGGTTCCTGCTGCTCCCTGTTCTGTACTGCTGTTGTCTGTCACCCTGTTACGTGACTGACTTGGGCAGTCCCCCTGTCACACCAGCAAGTCAGTGCTTCAGATGACATGAGCTTTCCCAGAGGTTTTGTGTGTCAGGACAGATTCCTTGAACTGAATGTTGGGTTAGTCTGTTTCATTCCTTGTGGATATAATGAACTAAAAGAACCCACCCAAATTAGTCTGATAAAGCTTCTGATCCACTATAAATAATTTTTTTGGCTCCATGGGGATCTGAGAGCATTTCAAAATGTGAGTTATTTTAGCAATTGTAAGAAAGACATTTGTGATGGAAGGTAGTGGCATGATACTTAAAACTAGTCACGTGTTACTATTTTAAACCTAACAAGTCAGTGCTGCTTTAAAATGTAACAAAGATGTGACTAAATCGCGACTTGCTTTTGAAGTATAGTCTTCCAGCAAGCAATTAGTCCTTTTGCTTTTACATAGGACTGATGAAGTCATATCTGCTAAACTCTTCTGTTAATGAAAAAGCTTTTACAGAGCTTTCTTTCCTCTGCAGTCTATCAGGAGGAAAAAAAGTAGAAAACCTGCTCAGGTAATGGGAAAAGCTGCATTTCATTATGTGTATGTTTCTTGAAATTGAACAACGAGCATGGAATAATGCTCTTGAAGTCTCATTACTAGTTTGCTTTGGTTAAGTATTTGTGATGCGTTCATGGTTAGATAACACTGTTAGTCTGGAATGTAATGGGCAATCACAGCCTTCCTTGTGTGGAGCTCTTCAAGCTTAAAATACAAATTGCAGTATTTCTGGGGCAATCCTGCAAGTAAACTTATAATACAGTGTGAAATCAAGCTTGAAGTCTCAATTAGTCTGTCACTTACTGTAGAATATTCTGGACTTCTGGCACAAGCAGTTAAAACAAAGATTTAAAATTTGTGACTTTGACTGGCCTTTTGGTGACAGCATCCTTTACCCTCTGACATAGATTGGTGTCTCTGTGTTTTATTGCAGGATACCCTGGGGCCCTGTTGCTATTCATTCCCTTTCCCTCTGCTGCATTTCTTTCCTCTTTACCACACTGAGGGTGGAATTCAGTTGTCTTTGCTTAGGAAACTAGTACTGCTAGTGGAGTATGGTGTCTGGTGTCTTGCTGCCCCTTCAGGTTTCTTCCCATGCCCTCTGCCAAATCTGCTAGCCCTGTACAGATCTCAGCTCCCTAAGGCATCCAGAGTGGCAGGAGACATCTGTATTTACACAAATAAAGCCAACCATTTTACTACTCTTCCTGTCCAGTGTTTCTTCCCTTTCCCCCTTCTTTCCCCTCCTTCTTTCCCACCCCTTTCTTACTTCTTTCCCTTTCCTGATACTGGAAAGCCTGTATAGTCTGAAGCCTTTGTGTCCTTGGCTGGAACCTGGATCCTCCCTTTACAGGATGTTGACCTTGGGAGGTGACTTTCAAAATAAACAGCAAATAAGTTCCTTATATTTGTATGTTGTGACAGCCATATGAGAATTACTATGTTGGATGTATGCTGTGTATGTTGGAGTCCTAAGTTAGATTGTGATGGTATCCTGTAGTCACTGCAGGATATGAAATTGTATACAATTAAAATCCAGATGATGCAAAATATTTTGAAATCTTATAAGTGACCATGCTGAAAACCTATTGCAGCTTGTCTGTAGGTATGGCACATTGAGTTTGTGTCAGATAATCTGGGTGAATGTACCGGACCCCAGGCTGCTCTGCAGTGTCTCTGTCTGACTGGCATGGTGGCTGTGTGTTTCAGTGTGCCAGACGTCTTCTGTGTTTCAGGCAGTGAGTTGTCACCAAGATGTGAAGAGGTGGGAAATAGCAATTTGTCATGAAAACCCAGCTAATGATGAGCTGTGGAAACAGCAGCAGAACCTGTAGCTTTTGTATAAACTATGATGAAGTATCAGCTTGCTCAAATTCTGATAAATATATGCAGAGGATGGGTTTTATTTAAATAAGGTACTGTAAAAGATGGAATACTGAAACTTATGAGCAATTCAGAAATATGCTTTTAAAGCTGCTGCTTTAAATGCTGCTAAAATGTTATTAGAGACTTAGGTATTGTGAGCAATATGTAGTGTAACTCTCTAAGCCTTTTCTAATGTATGCTGTTTGTGCCTCAGTTTGCTTTTCAAAGTTTAAATTCTTTTAGATGTATTTGGGAGTTTCAAGTGAAAATGTGTAACTTCAGCAACGCACCTAAACTGTTTAGATCACCTAGATGTTTATTACTTGTTCATTGCATGCTTTCCAACAATGGAAATGCTTCAAGTGGAGCTGTGGCTCTGTTAGAGTGTCTGACCTAGGGGAACACCGCATAGGTCTCCAGATCCATGGGATTCTTGAATAATCTTGGTTCCATCATCTGTAAATGAGATAATAATTTGCCATCTTAGAAGCATGTTGTTAGGTAAAAATGTTCATTTTAGCTGCATGAGTGTTACAGAAACAGGGCTTGTATAAAAATTAAGAATCAGGAAACAGTCACATTCAGAGCATAGCCTGGAGCTTGCAGTAGTGTCTGTGCTCGCAAAACTTCTATGTTGGTAGCGTCTTTGGAAACATTTGGAAATGTGCATGCAATGAGGATGTTTTTAACTGGAAAATAGTACAAATGTTCTACTTTTTCATAGATTTAGCTATTGAAGCTAGAAGAACTTAAAAGCAGCAACTTTGCTACTTGATGACCAAAATCCAGTTAGGACAGACAGGTGACTTTGAATATTAATATTTATTGAAGACAAAGATTAAATAAAATAATTGCTAGAAAGAATTCTAGAAAGTTTCTGATCTTGCATTATAGTGGCAAGTTCCAAAAATAGCTGAGTATAATAGGAAATCTTTAACAGGGAGGAAAATCTGGGCTTCTAGTGTTCTCCTCTCATGTTTGGATGTTTTTTTGGTCTTTGAAGTGGTAAAAAAATCCCAACCTACCCTGTAGTTCAGACACTTGAAAACTCAAAGCAGCTCCTCTGCATTAGTGCTCATTGAGTCAGTGAGCTCAAAATACCTTTGCTAGGATGTTACATGATCTACTATATTAATATTTAATAATTATAATATACCTTTTCTTTTCTTAAACAGTATAATGCCTCCTAAGGAGGAGTATTCTGGAATAATTATCTTTACTTGCTTTATAAGACTAAAGGTAAGGTTTTGCTTGCTCTAATGTATCCATCAACAGACCTCTTCTGAAACTAAGCCAAGAATCGAAGTGGCTCCTTGTAGCTTAACCCTGATGTGCAGCTGAGCACTTGGTAGCTGCTGGCTCACTGCCTGAGAGTGATGGGGAGATAACTGGAAGGGTAAAACCTAGAAAACTTGTGGGTTGAGATAAAGACAGTTTAATAGGGAAAGCAAAAGCCACACATGCACAAGCAAAGCAAAACAAGGAATCAGTTCACTACTTCCTATGAGGAGGCAGGTGTTCAGCCATCCCCAGGAAAGCAGGGTTCTGTCATGTGTAACTTACTTGGAGACAAACTCCGTAACTCTGAATGTCCCCCTATGTATTTCTTCTTTCCCCAGCTTTATAAGCTGAGCATGATGCCATGTGATATGGAATATCCCTTTGGTCAGTTGGGATCTTATGTTCTGGCTGTGTCCTGTCCCCACTTCCTTGTACACTCCCAGCCTGCTCACTGGTGGGGTGGTGTGAGAAACAGAAAAGGTTTTGACACTGTGCAAGCACTGCTTAGCAATAACTAAAATATCTCTATGTTATTGTCACTGTTTTCATCACAAATCCAAACCATATCACCATGCAAGCTACTATGAAGAAATTTAATTATCCGAGCCAAAATTATATATATATAGCTCTGTACATACTTTCTGTGCTGTACTAATCCATGGCCACCATTGAACAGCTATGTCAGCCTTTTCAGAGAAGGAGTGGAGTAACTCAGTTGCCTCGGCAGGATAGTCTGCAAGGCTTGATGTTTTTTGGGAGGGAAAAAAAGCTCAGTAAAAAATAATTCCAAAATGCAGAAGATCCATCTTCATTACATCAATGTCATTCTTCCCCATATGAGTAACAATCCAACCTTCAGACCAGTCCTAGAGATCTTCTAATCAGCAGTCTGCTGTAATGCTGTTACAGATTTGCATGTCTGCCTCTTCTAGTGCCTTACTTTTATTCTATCAGAAAAGGCATTTATTGATATGTCCTTGGTGCTCTGTTGATCTTACTGATCTGATTTTGTATGTTCAGAGAAAACACAGCATCCTTTTATTTAGGGCCATCAAGCTTACTGGAAAATTGTAGTTGATCTCTTGGCATAGGTGGCACAGTATTGCTGTGTGTTGTGATTTTAAGAAATCTGTTTTGTTGTGTGTTGACTTTTTGGAGCTGTATGGAAGGCCTCTGATAACAGAGAAGCATACTCTCAAAGCAATGGGAATTTGAGATGTTACTGAGATCTCATTAAGCTAAATCTTCTTTACTGTTATGTTTTAGAAGATCTTCACCAGTCTCAGGGCGAAGGACAGGGAAGGCCTGTTGCTTTTGATGAGACAAGGGTGATATTCAGAGCCCACTGAAGCACTTGAGATAGATAGATTTAACAACAGAGGCCCCTTTGGTTGCTCTGTAGATCACTGTTTGTCTACTCACAGCAACTCTCCTGTTTTACCCACCAAAGTGAAGGCAAGGGAGATCTCTGAACGTGTGTGAGATTAGGCTGTGTACGTAGTTTCTCTGCAGAAGAAATGGTCCACGCAGGTAGTGGATGTTGAGATGTTAGCCTCTTGATATTTGACTGACGTAGTGCAGAGCAGTTGGATTGAACTGAGAAGTGGCTTAGTATTTTGATAAACTTTCCAGAATAAATGTATCTTTTCCATTCATCTTACTCTCCTGTTCCTGGTCCTCATGTGCTGAACATCAAAAATTGGCCTCTCCTTTTTGTTTTCATTTGTTTTGCCTTAAAATTGTCCCTATTTCATGGTAAAAAATGGAGACTGTGAATCTACCATGATATATACTCTTGCAGATACTTTTTTCCTCATACTTTTTTTAAAACCCTCTCAGATAAATACGTAGTCATTTCTGTCAATATTTCTAACTTGTGGCGATGTGTATGTTCTTTATAAGGACACCAAAGCAGTGCCTAGAGAGGGCTCTAGGCTGAAGTTCAGATGTAATCAACCTCTTCATAACAAAACTGTCCTACTGCAGGGGAAGAAATAAGACTGTGGTTCCTAGAAATTTGGTTAGACAGCATAATGCCACCAAAAGAAACCCTGACAAAACACTGAAGAGCTGCACAAGTCAAGAAGAGCTCTATGCACCGGTACAGTGTATCAGTCCAAGCCAGTCTCTTTTCCAATAATAGTTCCATACTCATTTCTGAATGCAAGTGGTTTGTTTAGCTTCCTATTTTGTTCTTTTTTGATTTGTAAATCAAAACATCCAATTTATTTTCAACTGTATTTCTACAAAATTACATGTCTTGAATGCCCACTTACTTGATTGCTTGAAAGCTTTCATCTGTAGAGTTTAGCTGTTTAATTTGTGTGCTTTTGGTTGATTTTTTTTTTTTGAATTTTGAGTTCAGCTTTGAATGTACTGCATTACATTCACATTGTTTTTATTTTAGTCTATCTATTTTGCTTTGGGTGCATAAAAGGTTTCTGTCAAAATAATATATTTTTTTTGCTTAAAGTATTCTTTCTATTTTCTGCTGGTTCCTGTCTGTGCGTGCTCTTAAAAGACATCAGCTAGACCAAAGAAAATTCCTTTTGTTCTTTTGTATGTGTGCGTGTGCCATTTTGAGATAAGGTGTGGAATTAGGTGGCAGAGACTGTAAAGAGGAGTTTTGGCTTTTGCAATGTTTTGTTTTGGATGCTCTCTCCTTTTGTTAATTTCTGCTTGCTTACCCCTTTACCAGCAGTACAATTACAGCATTTCCTCCCCTATTTTTATTCTTGACACCTGAGAGCATAGGAATATGAAGCATGACAAGGACATTACCTCTGCAATATTCAAATAAGCATCTTTTGTCCTACAGAAATTTTAGAAGTCTGCAGACTACTACCAGCCTGAAGAAATCCAGGACTTCTTTCCTTGAGCTGCTGACAATGTGTAATTTAGGGGTGTCTTTATTTAGTACCTCTACTCTGGGTTCCAAAGCAGCCTTAACAGAAGGAGATAAATTCCCAAAACTCTAGTGTGTTAATGGGAATGTTCTTCTGATTCATGAGATTGATGAATAACAGTTTAAAAAAAATATTTAAAATCCTATCATGTCGTAGGACTTTGGTTTTGTTCTGATATAAATGACTCAGTTTAGTGAAGTACTGCAGAAGTAGAAGGCTGCTTAATAGGGAATTTATGCTTCACAGCATGGGGATTTCATGAAAATAGATCAAGTTGGTTTTGGCAGCACAAAGTGACATTATATTATGGGCAAATAAGTTGTTATTTTGGCAAAAGATGAATGGTATCAGTAAAATGTAACAACCTAATTAAAAGTGAGGTCAAATTCTTGTATAGGATAGGTAAATGCATACTGAAGGGATGAGAGGGAAAAATAGACAACTGTTTAAGAAGAGAGGAAAAACTGCTCTTAAAAGATAAAAAAAAGCATAAACGTATTTCTTTAAAAAAACCCCAAAACCCACAAAACCAACTCCCCTTCAAAAAAAAACCAAACCCTTGTTTGCTTCTGTTTTAGAAAATCTAATGAGGCCCCTTAAGAACTATGGAATCGCATGGTGAGCATATGTTTTAATTTAAATCAAGCTTCTTTTCAGATGTACTTGATATTGTGCTGGAAAGCTTAAGTTTTTGCATTGTTGTTTCAGCATGTCTATGGGTTTCTTGATAGAAGAGACTGCCCCAGTTGTGTGGAGAGGGCTCATGGTAATGTCAGCTGTTGAAAAATTGTTGAGACAGGTAAGGACTTAGGTACATATTTATGTCTCAAACTAATCAGTTATTTTAAAATATATTTAACTGATACATGAGTGTCCATGACATTATTTCATATGTTAGTGGTGAGCATTTTCGTATCTTGGTCTTCATAAATTCTTAAGAATTTACTCTTAATTTCTGGTAACAGGGAAAGTTGATACTTTTGCATTTACCTATCTCCTTCAAATAGAGCTGTTGTTACATGCATTTGATGAGTGAATTGCCCCAATTTGCCTGCCTTCTCATTCCTTTTTATGTTTCTTTATGCATTAAAAAAAAAAAGGCATTTTGAAGTTGCCTAAGGACTTGAATGTATAGGTATCTATGCATATCTACAGCTGTATTCCCTTATGTGCTTGTTAATTCACCAGCACTAAGAATTCCTAGATGGCATTTGACATGTGACAAGTACAGGAAAATGCAGATAGATTGTTAGTTAATAAGTTTCCTGGCATGTAGAAGCAGGGTGGCTTTTTTATTTTTTTGACAGATTTTTTTTTCTTTTATTGTGAATAGATCTGTGAAGTGCTAATGAGACAAACAGCTGAAAAAATGCATTAAGGTTGTGTGTTTAGACTTTGAAGTGACCCAAATTGTCCACAGCTGACATCCATTTTAGGGATCTAATGTCTACAGCTTGGAGATCACAAGGTTTCTGTATGTCTTCTTTAAATGCCTCCAAATCTTATGTTCCTTTAACAACTGAAAAGAATATTTTTTTCAGCCTTTTTCCATTTTTACAGAATTCTCCTCTAACATGGATTTTAGAATAGTGGCACTCATTGCTCTAGTCAGAAAAGCCAAAATTTTGGGAGGAACATCTTTGTTTAGAATTGACCTCTAAAAGTAAGGGGTATGATGGCAACAGCTGTGGAAAGCTGTTCTGACCTCTTTGTGTGTTGCATTGCACTGGCCAGGCTCACAAAACCAGAATGTAAAGCCTTGAAGGCAGAGCTAAAGTTGGCACCTGCTGTATTGGCGTGCTCCCCCCTGAGAGACTGAAGGCTGGCAGGCACTCCAGTAGCCTTACTTCAGTCGGTGGGATCCCCAGATGGGAAGCCTGTGCCATCATTCTTGTGGAGGGTGTGGACGATGCCGTGTAATGAGCTTGTTGCTCCCTAGCAACCAGTGGTGCAGATACATGCTGTCTGACCGTGCTGTGGGAACGAGACAAGTCCATTTATGCTCAGGGCATCGCTGATTTGCCTGAGAGTGGAACCTGAGTTCTGAAAGAAGAAGGCTTTACAGCTAAATTTCTTCCCACGTGCATTTTGCTTCTGCATGATGACCAGGATAGTCTTAAATTTGTGCTGGAAAAAGTTGTTTGAATCTACTCCTTCAAAGAAAGAAGCTTACAGATCAGAGGGAAATGCAGAAGGTCTATCAGATGTACAGATGGTTTTTAGAAAAGAAATAATGCATTTTCCAGACTGAGACATGCTATTTTATTTTTAAAACTGTACTCTCCCTTCTGACGTAGCTACTAGTAGGTCTCAAGAAGAGGTTAACTGTAGGACCAATAGTTTTATAACCTTGGACACCTAACCAAGAGGGAACAACAGCATGTGATGATGCTTTTAAAGATACTGTCATTCCATTTTATATTAGTAGTTTTGTGATTTGTTGGGGACTTTGAAAATTTTTCTTGTTTTCTCTTTATCTGTTCTGGTTGATCTTAGCTATTAACTTTTGTTTGACTGGATAAAGTTGCTTCTAAGAGTAAAATACTTCGGCTTGTATTTAACTTTCTAAAACCATATTTTTAAGAAATAGCTACTATGTCTCATTAGCTGCATAGAAACCATTTAAATTAGCTCCTTAATCTAGATTTGTAGGATAATATATGTGTAAGGGGCCCCTGTGCATTCAGGCAAGCTGATAAAATATTAAGTTCTTAAAATAATTAATTCAGCCAGATAGAAAACACAGAGGTTCCCAGACTTCCATGTTAGAATAATTCTTGGTATTTTATAATTGTTTTTTTTTGTTAGGTGATGGAGAGGTTTTTTATTTGTTTTAAGAGCATCAAGACTATGTGTTCACTCTGTAAATAACTTTGGATGCTTGTTTGGTTTTTTCCATATGAACAAATCGGTTTTCCAGAGTTTATCATGTTTCAGATACTGCAATAAAGCATTTGAAGTTCTCAGCTTCCAAATTCATTTATGAGGACTTGTTGACTCATAATTGATCTGTGCCTGTAATGAGTATTTAAATGCTTTTCTTTTACTTGGAAGCTATTTAAATTTCTGGAATTCTTACTTTGGAAAATATATTTGTTCAATATATATGTTATACTTTCTTATATGCTTACTGCATGTAACCTCACTCTTTGTAATACCTGTATATCTGTCCCTCTTTGGTGCGTGAATGGCTTTTCAGCACAGTCTAGAGTCCAACCTCATTATTGTCTCTTGTTGCTTCTACTTTAAGTGATTAACCTTAGGCTAAGTACAGTAAAGATACAATTTTTTTGAGAGTCACCTAAAGCCTGTACTTGAACAGTAATGTGTCTGAAAAGCTCTGTTGAAATAAGTATCAAGTAGACAGCTAAGAATCTTAGAAATATAAAGATTATTAAAGAAAAAAAAAAGACAAGAAGGCAAGCAAAACTTGTTCTCTGATTTGAACTGTTTTTGTGACAAGGATTTCAAATAGTCGTTACCACTGTCCCATACAGTCTGTATGGTAAGTTTTCTAGTACCATTCTCATTTTTTTCTGAGGACATCTTGACAGGTCAGTGGCAAAAGAGCAATTGGAAGGGTGCAGGCATAATCCTGCTGTATGCCTTGCAGTATATTGTGGCAATTATTCTGCCAAAAGGTCGGGAGAGAGGAAGTGAGCAGACTGTGGGTTGTGAGATCTGGGATATTTCAAGAGCCTCTCTGAGAAAGCTGCCATAAAAGCAACAGTCGAGTGAATGGCACAGTAAAAATTTATGTGTAAAGATTTGGGATTAAATTAACTTGGAAACAGTAGTAGTATTTAATTTTGGAGAGCAAAGACTATGGAGGCTGTATCATTTTGAGTTTTTGATCAGTCTGAAGTGACTGATGTCTATAGAGGAAATTACAGATGTTCAATACTGGTTTTGTTTGACATATTAGTAAATTTTTATGTGCAGTTGCTACTGAGAAGTGTATATGTAGTTACTGGCATTCTTCTTTCCACCATTTAAATTGGAAAGGTTGCATATGTGGATTTGGGGACAAATTTTCTTTAAATGTGTTTTATTTAGCTATATGTTAATGCTGCACATGGGAAGATAAAAATGGATAAGGTATTGAGAGCAAGTGTATAAATAGCTACAATTGACTGGGCGTGTTCTATGCAGCATAACGTTCTGTATATGGTGTCTGTACACATCAGTCTGATCTCGTTTGGCATGTGTGTTCATAACACTGTGTTAAATCTTATAAATTTTTCATCCTGTAAATTTGCACAGTTTTGCACCATCTTACATGTCTGTGTGTGTAAATACATTTTTTACAAACAGAACAATGGAAAAAATAGGGGGAAAGCTTTCCAAATGAAGAGGAATAATGTGTATTTGATTTGGAAGAAATACACAACAAGAACATTTTCAGTAAAGCAGTTAGATACTACACGCTGAGCCATTTGCCTGATTGATTAGTATGGTTTGCTAAGAGTTGTCCTTCGGCTTCTGTTTGTGTCCATGTACTGTCTTTTTTGTCTCACATTTTTGGGACATCATTCTGTGTATACAGTGTTCAGCACTGTAGTGAGTTATCACTTCTTGAGAGATGCACAGGCATACACTTAGATTTACTTCCAAGACACAGATTTACTTCCAAGTAAATCTAAACATTTTCCTTTGATACTTTTTTATATTTATAAAATGAATTTATTATACCTTTTCTCTACTGAGCACGATAAATGTTGTGTTTCAGGTTCTCAAAGCATGTGTGTATGTGTGTGTGAGTGACATATATCTGTTAAAAATGCCTGAGATCAGTGTAAACTACCAGTGGCATTCACCACAGCTGATATTCATCAGAAATTAAAATCTCTTTTGCAGATACATACACAATTGCTTAACTTCTGATGGCACACGCTACCTTGCATATATATTCTCCAGCAAAGAGCCGTCAAGGTGATAAGGGGGAGTGAAGCATGTAATGCATAGAGAGACACTGAGAATTAGGATTTTTTTGGTTTTGAGGCAGTTAAAGGGAGATACAGACTGCTGTCTTAAACTACCAAATGGATATGTACAGAGAAGGTGATGATAGATTCTTCCTGGACATGCACAGTAATAGCACAAGAGGTAATGAATGTAAGTTGCAATATGTAGTAAGAAATGGTGCAGTCTTGGAAGTACTAGGAGGTTCCAAGCAAATTAGCTTGGATAGCATGTTGTTGCAGCTGGTGGGCGAGCCTACTAGGGGTGGGGCCCTGCTAAACATACTGTTTACAAACAGATATGTTGGTCCAAGGCTATCCGGGGTACAGTGACAATGAAATGATAGTTTTCAATACTCAGTTCAACAGGAAGGGGCATCAACAAGTGTACCGACTTTCAGGGGCAGACTTTGGCCTATTCAGTATCCAGTTGGTGACTAGTCACTAGTGGTGTCCCGCAGGGATCAGTGTTGGCCCCAGTCTTGTTTAATACCTTCACTGATGATCTAGACGAGGGGATTGAGTCCACCATTAGCAAACTGGCAGATGACACCAACAGGAGGAGTGTTGATCTGCTGGAGGGTAGGAGGGCTCTGCAGAGGGACTCAAACAGGTTGGATAGATGGGCTGAATCTGACAGTATGAGGTTCAACAAGACCAAGGGCCTGCACTTTGGCCACAACAAGCCCATGGAGCACTACAGGTTGGGGACAGAGTGGCTGCAGAGCAGCGAGGAAGAAAGGGACCTGGGGATACTGATTGACAGCAGGCTGAACATGAGCCAGCAGTGTGCCCAGGTCGCCAAGAAGGTGTTTAAGAAAAGACTGGATGTGGCACC